AATGGAAGAGAAGGGACTGCAGTGTGGCCATCCCTCCTGGGGAGTGATTTCTCGCTTTCTGTTTCTCTGTCTCTCTGTCTTCCTGGTGAGAATCTCCCACATAAATGACGGCAGTTCAAGTCCCAGACTCGGCGGCTTAAAACTCACGCTGGGTGCAAGAGCATGCAGGCCCAAGATCTAGACAAGAGAATGGAGGAGAAGGGATTGCAGTGTGACCATCCCCTCTGGGGGGTGATTTCTCATTTTCTGTCTCTCTGCCTCTTTAGTGAGTGCATATGCCCTATAGCAAAAATCTCTCTAAAAATAAATAAATAAATAAATAGCTTGTTAAACTTGTTTAAGTCTCAACCTTTTCAACATTCCACTACCAATAGTTCATCATCTGGCTTTCAACTCCTGTGCTTAGAGTATTCTCAGTTCCTTACCTATTACCACAGCTGTTCAACCACAACAAAAACTCCAGAATCCAGTCTTTATCTTCCTAAACTACATTAGCCAGGCTCCTACTGGCATTATTTCCTTCCCTACCTAACACTGAACCCAAGTATCATATCTGGTTACTTCTTTTGTCCTCTTGTACTTTTACTGAACATATACTATAAATTCCCAGTCCTGATCAATCTAATCACTCTGTCTGCTCTTATAGCCAAGCTTCCACCTACTGCTAAGATACATCATACATATGCAAATTGGTAACTCTCTAAAAGCAATATCCACGCAACCTTAGCTACATCCTCAGTACCAGTCATCCTTCCTCATAGAGCTCCCCAAACCACATCCCTGCAAAGTTTTTTTTTTTTTTTTTTTTGCTAGAGAGTATGTGTGCTTCATGGAGACACAGAGAGGGAGAGGAGAAAGCACACACCATAGGGAATTGTCTGGATTTTGGGCATACACACGCACATACCCAGTAAGTTTTCCAAGCTGCTGGGTCCAGAACTTGGGTCTAGGACTTGAACCACATGGTCAGCCACGTTGGATCCAGGCCCCTCTAAAACTATTCTAAATCTCCATCACCAGATATTTTATTGTAGAAATAGAAAATAATATCCACCTATTTCACATGGAGAAAATACAATTTCTTGGGAATCATCAGTTTTTAACCTGGAGTCCAAGAATAGGCTTTAGGGGTCTGTAAGCCTCCTGACATTACATTTATAACTAGTGGTAGTTTATGTCTAGTTTCCTAGGGTGAAAATTCTCAGTGCTTATTAGATTCTTCAAGGGGTCCATAACCCCCAAATGGATAGGAACCATAGAAAGAAATCTGAATTCGGTTGGTTATTGTATCTACTTCATAAATTTCTAAGTCTTGTAAGTAGCTATTGTTTTATAAGAATCCCTATGCAAAAGCTTCATTTTTAGCAATTATTATAAAACAAAAATAGTTGATACAGATTGTTTTATAAGAAAAGTTATGATTCTTCTAAAAAACAAATCTTCCTCAAGTATCTTACCTTACATCTTCTACACCTTTAGCAACTACTCTTTATAATTCTCCAGTACCTTGTGGGATATCTTGTTTTTTTTTTTTTGTTGTTGTTGTTTGTTTGTTTGTTTGTTTTAATCATTTGTTTGCCATCTGCATTTTATGGGAAGGTGATTAATTTTTGTGGCTGCGCTTTTGTTGGAAGTCCAAAGAGTTGTTCGCACACTAGGGATTAGAATAAAGGAGACCTATATTTTACAACCATGCCCTTTCCAGCGAAAGGAATAGTTCCACTGATAGGTTGATGATACACATACATTCCCTGATGAAATAGAAGGGGGTGAGAAGTTAGGTACAAGTAGAAAGGTTATCCCTCAACAGCAGACAAGAGAAGTCTTTTACTGAGAATTTAGTACAAGAGATTCTGGTTACCAGCTAACATTTGGTAACCTCCATTTACCTGTGGTTCGATACAACTGTGTGCCGAGATTATTTTCAAATAGATCTTTTTCTAGCTAGGAAAAATAGGCACTTCAGTGGCTATAAGACCAATAGATGAATTTTAAAACTCGAGTTCAAATGTAACACTCATAAACCATCTTTTCTCTTCCTAGTCATAAAACATTTATGTGATTAAAATGGGGAAGATATAAGGCATAGTTTCTAATTTGGGCTCTTTACAGTGCTTACCCAATGCTACAGGTATAGCTCTAACTGGCATGGCAAAGAACTTCTCAACAATTTTTTAAAAATAATTGGAGCAAAAAGAACCTATGGATTACTTTGTAAACTGTTAAAAATTCAACCTCATTGGGACCAACAGATGGTGTAATTCAACCTCATTGGGACCAATAGCTGGGGCCAGGAGCTGGCGTAATGGCTATGTTGCTGGATTCCCATGTAGCCAACCTTGGTTCGAGTCCCGGACCTGGGGGGCTTAAACTTACACCATGTGCGTGCGTGCCCAAGATCCTGAGAGGAGAATGGAGGAGAAGGGATTGTGGCATGGCCATCCCCCTTGGGGGGTGATTTCTTACTCTTTGCCATTCTGGTGAGCACACTTGCCCTATAGCAAAAACCTCTCCAAAAAAAAAAAAAAAAAAAAAAAAAAAAAAAAAAAAGCCTCATGGCTGAATTTGAATTAAGAAAACACAAATAGGTATAAAGTCTTTTGGAGAGAACTAAATTTCCTAATTTTCCAATTAGCATAGTTCCTACAAAATTCTACTCCTCTTTTCATCTAAGTTAAATTTGAAAGAGGAAATCATGTTGGCTACTTGATATGAATCCTTACAAGAGCAAATATAAGAAAGCTTTTTCCATGTACCTCAAACAAACAAACGAAATTTAAAATAACCTTAGTTTTTTTCATAATGTGAAAATAACTCTAGTAGGCTTTAACAAATAAAATTTTTTTCCCACACCAGATGGGTACTATGCCAATGTCATAACAAGGTCTAAGGGAAGCACATCTCACACAACAACGTGAACACCCAATCATTATGTTTATGAACCACAAAATGAGCAGTAAGATACATTTTCCAAAAATAAGTCTTCACAGAAAGTCTTCAGCAATATTTCCCAGTTCATCTAAACATTCTTTTGAAGATTTACTTGTGTAGTGTCAATACATACAGAAGACACAGTGAACAAGTAAAACAACGTATGCATAAACTCAACATACATTAGGCTGTTGGGAAAGTCATGACATATTTTTCTAAGCAAAAGAAAAATATGTCATGACTTTCCCGATAACTCAATAAATGGCATCCCCACAAATACTCAGGAATAACAGTATTTTGTATTCACATGCTTTAGAAAAAAATTTTTTTGAGAGATTTTTGCTATAGGCCATGTGTGCTCACTGGAGGGCCAGAGAGAGAAGGAGAGACAGAAAGTGAGAAATCACCCCCCAGAAGGATGGCCATGCTGCAATCCCTTCTCCCCCATTCTCCTCTCGGGATTTTGTGCATGCATGTTCACATGTCCAGAATGAGTTTTAAGCCTATAGGTCCGGGACTCCCACTGCAGTGGACTACGTGGGAGTCCAGTGACATAACCATCACGCCATCTGCTGGTCCTAAGACAGTATTTTTTAATTGCCAGATGGTGAGAGCACTCACTCGCCAGAGAAACAGAGAGGAAGAAGGCATCCCCCTCAAAGGGGCATGGTTACACCACTATCCCTTTTCCTTCATTTTTGCATCTTTTTGGATTTGGGACACACACATGTGCTTGTCATGTTTTTCAAGTTGCTACGGTCAGGATATGAATTACAGTTGACTACTGTGAGATCTGGTTCCTTTAACCACTAGGCTATGGGACTGGACCTATGAAAATGATTTATTTCAAAATCTATGAAGTAAGGGACCAGCAGTTGGTGTAATGGCTATGTCGCTGGACTCCCATGTAGTTGACCACGGTTCACGTCCCAGACCCAGTGGCTTAAACTCACACCAGGCGCATGTGCGTGTGTGCCCAAGATCCCAAGAGGAAAGGAGAAGGGATTGTGGCATGGCCATCCTCCCTGGGGGGGGGGTGATTTCTCCCTTTCTGTCTCTCTGTCTTTTTGGAGAGCACATGCGCCCTATAGCAAAAAAACTCTCCAAAAAAAGAAAAAAGAATTTATGAAGTAAAAAAAGTAATTTAAAAGATTACTTTGCATTCAATCAAATTAGAAGACCACAGTCACCTAATTCACTGAGTTCACAAAGCAAGCTCATATGGAAAAAAACTATAATAATTTAGCCTAGTAGTAGTTTTCCGGGAAAAAGAGTATTCTCAAAAAAGAATTTCATACATACAACAATTACAAAATAATGTTAATTCCTATAACCACCTAAGTACTGTCACTTAATGGGTCAAATGACCAAATGTCAAATAAAGGTGAGTAAATGTACTCATTTACTGTTTGAGAATTCTTTCTGGAGAGTCTAAAGGGAAAAATAATCTTGATGTGTCAATATTTTGACAGGTACACACTATCTTTCCTTTCCACATGGCTAATGATGATGAAAAACAGGAAGTCCTAAAAAGATGGCAGGTAGAGAGGTAAAATGGCAACAAGTTTCCACTTCCAAATCTATTAAACAGCAGAATCTCAAAACTAAGACTAAAATAATTAACTCTAAAGCTATTGTAAGACTTTAGAATTTTGTTAATGGTGCACTTCCTTAAAGGATATTTCAAATTACTTCTTTCAAATGCTTCAAAAACAAAAGTTCACTTTGGCTGAAAGGAAATATGACCCCTTCTCCCATGCCAATGATTCCTAAATAAATGCAAGTCTGTAGTCATGTGAATTTTCCAGGTCCTGAACTAGAAAGAATACTGCAGAACAGTATCAAGACATATATAAACGAAGGGTCTTTAAAGAGCTCAGGGACCAAGACAAAACGCTCTTGCTCTACTTAGGCACCTGACATTTCAGTACCATAAAATATATACTACTCCTCTCTAAATTTGGCTAAAGACCTTGATAAGAAACCATGACATAAAGAAGCATATTTACAAAACTCTAGCAACACCTGAAACCGATTCAGAAACAATTCTACAGCAGCAAATACTCTACCTGTTCACCATAAACTTCAATCTCCTCATGGGTCCTCAAGTTCTCCCTACTTAATGCCATTAGGTTAGTAGACAAAGATGAGTGAGGAGCCTTGGTGGTGCCTTGATACATTGTTGACATGCTGATGTAAATAACTACAACAATGACACCTCAGGAAATGACTGGGTACTCTATTCATCCTGTGACTCTCACTAAACAAGCCTGCTGCTCAGCAGTAGTAGTCAATACTCAGAGGAGACTTACAATTCTCTTCCTGCAAAGAAACTCCTCAGTTCGAATATCATAGCTCTTTGGGAAAAGGAGTTTTTAATTTACCCTACAGTAGACTCTCAGGACATAAAGGCATAGAAGCATCAAATGGCAATTCTGTACATAATGGTATCTTCAATCTGGCAGCCTTAGCTACATGTGACTACTATGCAGTTGAAAAATGTCTATTCTGAACTGAGATGCGCTGTAAGCACACTATACACACTGGGCTTCACAGATTCAGTATGAAGTAAAGTAAAATATCTCATTTGCTAACTTTTTTTTTTAATTGCTAACTTTTTAAATGATCATGTGTTGAAATGATAAATAGAATTAAATAAAATGTTATTAAAATTAATTTAACCTGTTTCTTTTGTACTTTGCTAATGTGGCTATCAGAAAAATTTAAAGTACTGGAACCAGCAGTTGGCATAATGGCTATGTTGCTGGACTCCCATGTAGTCAACCATGGTTCTAGTCCTGGACCTGGTGGCTTAAACTCACACCAGGTGCATGTGTGCCTAAGATCCCAAGAGGAAAATGAAGGAGAAGGGATTGCGGCATGGCCATCCCCTCCAGGGGGTGATTTCTAGCTTTCTGTCTCTCTGGTGAGCGCACGTGCCCTATAGCAAAAAACCTCTCCACCTCTCAAAAAAAATTTTTTTTAAGTACTTATATGGCTTTTGTTATACTCCCATTGAATGGTACTGCTATGGACCATTCTGATAGCAAACAAGAATGATCACTTAGGATTTCCCAATTATAGTTATTACTCAGAAAAAAAAAAGTAGTATTTAATTTAGTTTTTAATTTTTATTATCAATCAAGATAACTTAAGAAATATAACTTTAGAGACCAGCAGTATTGGTTATGTCACTGGACTCCTATGTAGTTGACCGTGGTTCAAGTCCCAGACCCAACAGCTTAAAACTCATGCCAGGTGTGTGTGTGTGTATGCCCAAAATCCCAAGAGGATAATGGAAGAGAAGGGACTGAAGCACAGTTAACCTCCCAGGGGGGAATGGAGTGATTTTTCACTTTCTATCCCTGTCTCTCTAGCAAGCTCATGTGCCCTAAAGCAAAACTCTCTCTTTCTCAAAAAAGGAAAGAAACATAACTTTAAAAGATTATAAAAATAACAGTGGAATCACTTTGTCCCAGCACTATTTTAAAGACTGCCTTACTTCAAAAAGATGAAAATAGCACAGGATGCAAAAACACACCTCTAAAGAAAACAAGATGGGGGCCCCAGGTTGGTGGGGCAATCAGGAGCAAAGTGAACCACAGCACTGTAAGCCACATGACTAACTACCGAGTTGGATGCCGCCATGTTGCCTTAGAAACAGGCTTAGTTATATGCAGGTACAGTCAAGATCCTGAGGAGTCGGAGAAAGGGATCAGCTCCTGATCAGACTGCCAAGAGTGCTTCTCTCTTTCTCCTCTTCCTCTTCCCTTTCTCTCTCTCACACACATGCTGATCATGAACAAAATAAAGAAGATGAGACATAGACTAACCAAGTTTTTTTAATAAAGTAGGTTTAAATACTCATTAAAGGTTTTCTTTAAACTGAAATGGACATTTGTTCATTTCCAGCACATGGAGCCTCAAAACAAAACAAAACAAAACAAAACACACATTAAGATCCTGTCTCTATTGTTTAAGCACTTTTAACCACAAACAAGTGAACTATTAGCACTATAAAAAGGGAAGTAATTATTATAATCTAATACTCTTTTTCAAAATTAAAAAAACCACATCACTACTCAAAATAAAAATTTAAAACTGCATCAGTTGTTCTGGGATTGAGAAGGCTAGCTTTGGTCCACAGTCATCATGGAATAATAAAGTATATTTTTAAATAAGTATTTTTTTTAAAGATTTTTTTTTTTTGGAAAGGTTTTTGCTATAGGGCGCATGCGCTTGCCAGACAGAGAGAGAAAGAGAGACAGAAAGCAAGAAATCACCCCCCCAGGAGGGATGGTCACGCCTCAATCCCTTCTCCTCCATTCTCCTCTTGGGATCTTGGGCACGCACGCACACGCGCCCGGCGTGAGTTTTTTTAAGCCACCGGGTCTGGGACATGAACTGTGGTTGACTACATGGGAGTCCAGCGACATAGCCATTACACTAACTGCTGGTCCCTAAAGATTTTTTTTTTTAAGTGGGAAATTTAATGATATCTTTCTATTAATGAACCATATCCTTCCTCTACCATAAAATAGCACTCTGCTTTATTTGATTTAAAAACATTTATGCCTCCAGGACTCTTTTTTTTTTTTTGAGAGATTTTCACTGTAGGGCGCGTGCGCTCGCCAGACAGAGAGAGAGAGAGACATAGAGACAGAAAGCGAGAAATCACCCCCCAGGGGGGATGGTCACGCCGCAATCCCTTCTCCTCCATTCTCCTCTCGGGATCTTGGGCACGCACGCACACGCGCCCGGCGTGAGTTTTTTTAAGCCACCGGGTCCGGGACATGAACTGCGGTCGACTACGTGGAAGTCCAGCGACATAGCCATTACGCTAACTGCTGGTTCCCGCCTCCAGGACTCTTAAGGGATAAAATTCAGTGTATTTCTGAAACTGTGAAAATGTTTTTTAAGGGGAGAAAAACAGGTCAGTAAAAGATATGAGTAGAAAAGCTTTCTCAGATGTTCAGAGGATATACAAGCCACTTCTAGAAAACTGTCAGTGAGAAAAATGTATAAAATTTTTTTTTAAGAATAAGATCAAAGAGTGAGTCTAAAGGGCTTTCCCAACAGTTGATTAGATACTTCCTATGGTGCCCTGACAAATTTCCAATCCAAAAAGGACACATTTGACTGTCAATTCTTTATTCCTCTGAGCATCATCAGCTAAGTATAATCTTCAGACTGTTTGCCAGCTGATACATTCCTTAGAAATCTTTTCCTTGAGCATTTAAATGCCACGCTTAATACGCTCCCAGTAGAGTAAGCAGAAAGGACTGTACGTATTTTAAAATAGCGAGCTGACTGGCTGCAGTCCCCTGCCCTCGAGAAAAAGATAATGTGTAAAACTCTGAGTATGATCCTCAAACACTGAAATCACTCTCAAAGACGGGTCTTCTTACATCGTCCAATAGATAAAATGCCAACATTTGCATTAGAGCATCCTATTTTTAGTCTTTGGAATTGGTCTTTTAAACTGCATTCCACAGTACAATGTGTTCGAGGAAGTTTGTACAAGGAATCAAATAAGCATCCTAAGTTCTTAATCTTTCTGATCTCAGAAAATTTAAGCTTTAAATGCTCCTTTTTAAATCTTAAGTCTCTGAAGCACGCAAATTAAAAATTACAACAGAAGGTAAACATTGGCCCAGAGAGAGGGAAGGAAGACACTATAGGCGGGTCTGGACAACCCAAGTGGGGGTGGTGGGAAATGAAAACCATGTACATGGGTGGAGAACCGGGCTGTGGTCAACAGGGCAGTGAGGAACAGAGGTGCAGGAAAGCCGCAGGCTGCTCGACACCAAGCGAGGGAAGACTTCTCCCGAAGGCGGGCGCTAATCCCTAGGGAGAGAGAAATTGGCGCGATGCACTGAACACAGAACACAACAGCAGGAGAAAGGAGGAAAACAGGCGGCCGGAGAGCGGGCGGCGGTGCGGGAACCGGGATACACCTCGCCAGGAGGGCAGAGGCGGCGCTGCTGGAGGGCAGCGCAGGGGGAGGAGCGAGGGGCTTCCCAAAGGCTTTCCATCCCCGCCGCGAGGCGCCGGGGCCCCCGCAACGCGCTCTTCCTCTCCTCACCTGGGAACTGAAGGCGAAAGCAGGGCTACCGCTGGGCGCCGGGTCTGTTTCCAGCCCCGCTGGCTGACATGGCGGCCTACGTGCTGTCACAGAGCTCGCTCGGGTCTCCCACGACTCCCGCGGAGACACCTTTAGCCTCTGCGCCCCGCCTCCCTCTGCGCACCCCTAGGGGCTGGCCGGCTGGCCGCGGGCCGCGCGGGTCCGGGCGGCCCCGCCGCCAGCGGAGGAGCATAGAGCGCGAGCGGCTAGAGCGGAAGCGCAGAGGGCGGGCGACCATAGAGTACGAGCCCGGACACTGCCCGGATGGTCTCTTTCCTAACCGGTCCACTCACGATCCTCAGGTGGCTGAGCGCGGGCGGAAGCGGAAGTGAGGGAGCAAAACAAGCCGGATAGGTCGTGCACATGCGCAGTGTATGTTTACTTCCGCCCGGCCCGGTGTGGCTGCGAGATACACGTGGAATGTCCTACATGGGTCTCACCCGTGGAGCTGGGCCGGCTGATTGTTGGGGAGAACCTTAGAGGCGAGGATGTGGGTCCCAGTGGCGGGGCGGCCTCCTGGCGGGGCTTCCTCTGCGGCTGGCGATCTCAGCTTTAGTGGGCGCTGGTCGCTTTTGCGTTTTGGGGTCCGGAGCGGCGACGCGGAAGGACTGGCCTGCAGTTTCCTGCCGTGGGTTGTCTGACTTCCAACCGCAGGTATTGCCTAGTCTGGATTTCAATGAGTCGCCCTCCTGGGTGTCCAAGTGCCGGTTAGAGCCCAAGCGTTACGTAACCAATCGGAGATTGGCTGAGACCTTGGCTCAGATCCTGCGGGGGAAACGAAAAAAACCTCGCCACCTATTTCTGGAGTGCAATCCAGGTGAGTCCAAGTGGATTGTAATTTTCTTGGATATTCATCACTTCTGAAAATTTTGAGTATCCCTAACGTGTTAAGACACTGGCTTCTCCAGGTGGCTTACTAGGGAGAGTGCGGGCAACAAACTCGTGTGGTTTCTATTAATAATGGCACCACAAGATATTTCGGTAGTAGTTTGTACTTTACACAATGTTTTTATAAGACCTGATCTTAGATTTCACTGTCTCCTCAAAACAGTCACAAGCCCCTCTCAAAATTTTATCTCGCTTTCAGTACATATGCAGATCGTAACAAGGTGCTAAGAACTCAAGATTTGTAGACTTACAAAATGATAATTATTTAAAGCATCATTTCCTATCACAGTCATTTCTGTTTAGGCTTGATAATATCCTTGGTGATTAAAACATTCAGAAGTGCATGAGTAAGTGGTAGGCTAAAGGCAACCCTTTTTTGTTATTTTCTTTTTCCAAGTAGTAGTGATAGATTGATTAAGTGTGTAAGGTTTGCAGTTACTGACTGAAGCTTCAGTGCCAGGCTGCACTGCTTACCAATGGTGATGCTGAAGTCAAGCGCCTATATCTTATCTCCAGTTGACAGAAATGTAAAAAAAGAAACATTCACTTTGAGGATGTTGCAGAATTTTAAACTAGATACCATGTGTAAAACGTGTAATGAAATTTTGATATTAGATATTGACAGAGATTGCTATTTGCAAATAAACATTTCATTTTTTAATACACTAGGTCCTGGAATCCTGACTCAGGCATTACTTGAAACTGGTGCCAAAGTGGTTGCCCTTGAAAGTGATAGAACTTTTATTCCACATTTGGAGGTATATTTTTGGTTTCTAAAAATAATTTATTATTCTATTTATCATTTCTAAAATAATTTATCATTCAGTCATCGATGTTTATTATTCAGTCATCTATATTGGACTTTATAGAATCTCTTTTAGGGGATCAGTGCTAAATATTTTGTAATACCCAGTAACTAGAATGTAGTTAAGGATTTAATGCTTATTGAATGACTGAAAGATAGGGAGTATTGAGCTTTGTTCTCTAGTCTTATCTCTGCTACAGACAGGTTGAGTGACTTTAAATAGTGTGACTGGTATTACGAAGCTTTGTGTCCCCTTCTCCAGAAAGGTATGCTGTGTGCCAGCCTTCTGTGAGCTTAGAATCTATTTGGAGTGATTGCTAAGATTAGGTTAATGGGACTATGTAAACTCTGGATTTGGATTTCAGAGTCAAGAAAGGTTTTGGATAGTCTGATACAGTTGAACAGTGGAAACATCCAAATGGATTTCTCAGTGATTCTGCTTCTTACGTGGGGAATAAGTTCACCTAACAGTAAAGAAGTGGAAACTTGCATAATTAGCCAGTTTTTTTTCTTTCTTTATTTCTCTCCCTCCCTCTTTTATAAATATCTAGATTCAATTCAGTAAATGTACCCTTCTTTATGCCAACTTGCTGAAACCATGTAGAAGGATTTATCTAAAAGTGCAAAATGATAACAAAAAATGGTGAAAACGTTGGAAAGGTTGAGGAGGTAGGAAAAAAACAGGATGTTGTTTTTTTGTTTGTTTGTTTAGTTTTTTGCCATAGGGCTTGTGAGAGACAGAGAGAGACAGTGAGAGGGAAAGTGAGAAATTATCCCCCAGGGAGAAGGCCACGCTGCTATCCCTTCTCTGTTCTCCTGGGATTTTGGGCACACTCACACAGATGCACAGCGTGGTTTTCAATCCACCAGGTCCTGGACTCAAATGCCTTAACCACCCCCACCACCTGCTGCCTCCCTTAACCCCTAGAAGGGTGTTGATCATCAGAAACAAAATTGCAGATAAAGGGAACAATGTCTAGTGTTATAAAATACAGTAGAATATGCTTAACAACTTCTTACTAAATATAATGTGAAAGATGGTTGAAAATGATGATCTAATAATTACATTATTTAAGCACTGTATATTATATTCATGTATTGAAAAATCCCATTATAACAATTGTATTAACAAAAATTAAGAATTTAAAAAATCCACTTGTTTAATTTTTTAGACTATAACTGTAAGCATGAGGTTATTATTATTTTACAATTGACTGCTTAGAAAAGAATACAAGGATTTAGCAAGGTTTAATTGATACAAATTTACAAGAATTCCAAAAATACAAGTAAAAAAAGAACACATAAAATTATTTAAAAATTAGACTGTGCCCATGGTCTAGTAGTTAAGGAAGCCAGATCACTCATTACTGACTTGTGCTTTAAATCCCAGCCCCAGCATCTTCAGAAACACACTGAGCATATGTACATGTATGCCCCAAATCCTGACAGGATGAAGAAACAGAGAAGGGAGTACAGCATGACCACTCATTGAGGGCTGCTCTCTCTTTCTCTTAGTTTTTTTTTTCTCTCTGGTGAGCACACATGTCCTCTTGCAAATTAAGGAAAAAAAAATAATTCAATGATTTAAGGTCATGAAATGCGATTGAATAAACATACATATCTGTAATTTTAACTTGGAAAACAGATATGTGGTTAAGGCACTGCACTCCCACATGGCAAACAGCAGTTCAAGTTCTGGACCTGGTTGCTTGTTTTCTTTTTTTTTTTTTTGGAGAGGTTTTTGCTATAGGGTGCGTGCACTCGCCCGACACAGACAGAAAGAGACAGAGAGACAGAAAGCGAGAAATCACCCCCCAGGGGGGATGGTCACGCCGCCATCCCTTCTCCTCCATTCTCCTCTCGGGATCTTGGGCACGCACGCACACGTGCCCGGAGCAAGTTTTAAGCCACTGGGTCTGGGACGCGAACTGCGGTCGACTACGTGGGAGTCCAGCGACATAACCATTACGCTAACTGCTGGTTCCTTGGTTGCTTGTTTTCTCACTCCCTCTCTGTCTTTCTTTCTGGTCAAATTAAAAACAATAATCTTAATAAATAAAACTAAATAAATCTTTTAAAAAATATTTAATTTTATTAATTACTATTGTTTTTTAATTTGTTTTATAGAGCACATGCGCTCAACAGAAGAGACAGAGAGAGGGAACCAGCAGTTGGCGTAATGGCTATGTCGCTGGACTCCCACATAGTGGACCACGGACCACGGTGCGTGTCTTGGACCCAGTGGCTTAAAACTCATGCCGGGCACGTGTGCGTGCGTGCTCAAGATCCCGAGAGGAGAATGGAGGAGAAGAGATTGCGGCGTGACCATCCCCTCTGGGGGGTGATTTCTCACTTTCTGTCTCTATGTCTCTCTCTGTCTGTCTGGCGAGTGCATGGGCCCTATAGCGAAAACCTCTCAAAAACAAAAAAGAGAGAGAGAGAAAATGAGAAAGCAAGCTGCCAGGTCTGGGACTCCAACTGCTGTCAACCATGTGGGAATCCAATGCCTGCAAGTCTCCAAAAGTAGGTTTTAAAAAGAGGCCTACAGGGGCAGGCAGGTGGTGTGGTAGTTGAGTTGCTGGATTCCCACATGGCTGACCTTGGTTCAGGTCGTGGACCTGGCAGCTTGCTTTGTCTCTCCTCTCTCTCTCTGTCCTTCTCTGATCAATCTAGAACAAGTGAATAAAGTTAAATAAAATAATTCTTACAGGACCAGCAGTTAGCTTAATGGCTATGTCGCTGAACTCCCATGTAGTCGACCACGGTTCAAGTCCTGGACCCGGCGGGTTAAATTAACGCCAGGTGCATGTGCGAGCATGCCCAAGATCCCAAGAGGAGAATGGAGGAGAAGGGATTGCAGCATGGCCATCCCCCCTGGGGGATGATTTCTCGCTTTCTATCTCCCTGTCTCTGTCTCTGGTGAGCACACGCGCCCTATAGCAAAAACCTCTCCAAAAAAAAAAAAAGAAAGAAAAAATAATTCTTAAAAAAAGAGCCCTACATACATGCTCACAAAATAATTAAAATGTAATTAAAATGTCTATTTTTATTATAGGGTTTTTTGGGAGAGATTTTTGCTATATGGCTTGTGTACTCACCAGAGAGACAGAGACAGAGAGACAGAGAGAAAGCAAGAAATCACCCCTCAGAGTGGATGGCCATACTGCAGTCCCTTCTTTCTCCCTTCTCCTCTTACGACTTTGGACATACACACACAGACCTGGCACAAGTGTTGTTTTTATTTTTAAGAACTATTATTTTTATATTTATCTTTACTTATTTATTTATTTTAATTTGACCAGACAGAGAGCAAGCAAGAGAGAGGGAAAGTGAGAAAGCCACCTACCAGGTCCAGGACTTGAACAATGGTTGGCCATGTGGGAGTCCAGTGCCCTTAACCACCATGCCACCTGCCTGCCTCCTGGCATGAATTTTAAGCCTCTGGGTCTGGGATTCAAACTGCGGTCGACTACATGGGAGTCCAATGATGTGACCATTATGCAATCTGTTGCTCCTTCTGTTACAGTTTTTTATCCTGCAACACAGCAGTTGCTTTTCTGTAAGAAATGGGGAAAGGGTACAGCTTGCAGAAAGTAGAAAATGGTACAAAGAACAGGTACAGCTGATGACCAAAAACTTCAGAGTTTTCTGAAAATACTGGCTGTGAATAATATAGCTAGTATGGAAGAGGTCTTGCCTGAAATTTAGAAGCCCCTTTCTTTCTGGTGCTGTCAGTGTTGATGATCACCTCTGAAGAGGAAAAGCCCACTTCCCACTGACCTTAGAGAACACTCAGCATCTCTGCTTGATTGTGACAAAGGCAGTATTTGGATGGATCATGAAATGCTTCTAAGGTAGCCAACGGTTAACTCTTCCAATAAGCATATTACCACCAAGGTAACTTACCCTGTGGAATAACTACAAAGTAGGATGATATTATTTACACAGTTAATTTATACAATTCATCTGTACCAAAACACATACACACGCACAAAACCAGAAAGTATATGAATAAGATAGAAAAAGAACAATTCAAATAGCGCATGTGCAGCCTTCCACTTCAGTAAGTGCCAGGCAATGGATGAACTCAAATCTGAGAAGTTGGTTTATATAGGTGAGAGCTATAGAAAAAATGTGCGGATGATTTTAAAGGTTTCCCATTTGTTGATAAAGCATGTTCAGGTGTCCAGGCAAGTGGGTGGGGGAGCTTTTTAACATTTACAGGGATTGTAGAAGGTTTTTGAGAAGCTTCATCTAAGAATTAACAGAACTGACATAATCTTCTAAAAGAATGACGTTAAAGACAACTTGAAATTTTTGTAAATTTACTAATTGTTCAGAGTAAAACATTAAGCTGATTAAATTTCTGAGTGTTCAAATAAAAGAAAGTGAGAAATCACCCCCGCTCCCTCCGGGAAGATAGCCATACAGCAATCCCTTCTCCTCCATTCTTCTCTTGGGATCTAGGGCACACATGCATGCACAAGTGCCAGGTATGAGTTTTAAGCTGCTGCATCTGGGACTTGAACCATGGTCAACTATGTAGGAGTCCAGCGACATAGCCATTACACCATGTCCTGGTTCCTTGATGAGGTTTAAATAAGACAAACTTAAATGCCTAACTTAATGACTAGCAGAATCTCAAGGGTTACTTTCCTTTCCACTGTCCCTTCTGTTTTCTGTTTTTGAATCCTAAATATAATTCATTCAAATTTTAAAACATGATCTCACCATTCTTGTGTGAATTCAGAGATTTATCCTGGAGCATTGGTTGTTACCGTGTTTGAATTATTGAATGGTAAGAGTGATGCTAAAGCAAAAACACGTGATAACTTCTTAAATTGGGTTATGATGATGATTTCCAAAATTAACCATAAATCCATAATTAAGTGTCATCTTCTCAAATCCTTTTAGTTTTTAGGAGTAAAATATAGCAAAGTCATGTGTGTGTGTGTGTGTGTGTGTGTGTGTGTGTGTGTGTATGTTTATTTTACATTTTCATCAGACCAAAATTTACTAGCTTTTCCATAATTACAAAGATTAAAATGTTGAGCCAGCCCTGTGGCCTAGTGGTTAAGGGGGCTAAATCCCACATGGCTGACTGCTTAGTTTGAGTCCTGGCCCCAGGGTCTTGAAAAACATGGCCTGGGGTCTGCAGGTGGCACGATGGCTAAAGTGCTAGACTCCCACATGGCCGACCTTTCTGGCGAGCATACGCACCCTATAGCAAAAACTTCTCAAAAAAAAAGGAAAGGGAACCAGCAGTTAGTGTAATGGCTATGTCGCTGGACTCCCACGTAGTCGACCACAGTTCGCATCCTGGACCCAATGGCTTAAAACTCACGCTGGGCGCGTGTGCGTGCATGCCCAAGATCCTGAGAGGAGAATGGAGGAGAAGGGATTGTGGCGTGACCATGCCCCCTGGGGGGTGATTTCTCGCTTTCTGTCTCTATGTCTCTCTCTGTCTGTCTGGCGAGTGCACGCGCCCTATAGCGAAAATCTCCAAAAAAATAAAAATAAAAATAGAAGGGTAAATGAGAATTTATTGAAGATTATTTTTGATTTTGAGTAATTTCTCTTGATAATATGTATTTTCACTATTTTTAAGGCATTAATTGTTTTCTATTTTCTCTTAAAATTTTAAAACTTTTAAATTTATTTTTACTATTTTTTTGTTTGTTTTTAATAATTATTTTATTTAACTTTGTTTTAATTTGACCAGAGAGGGACAGAGTGAGAGTGAGAGGGAAAAAGCGAGAAAGCAAGCTGCCAAGTCCAAACTCAAACTGCGGTTGGCCATGTGGGAGTCCAGTGCCCTTAACCACCACACCACCTGCCGGCCACTTACTGTTATTTTTTTATTTGCTATAGGACATGTGTGCTAGCAAGAGAGAGAAAGCCTTCAGGTCTGGGACTCAAACCAAGGTTGGCCATGTGAGATCACCTCAATCACCACCTAGCCCCCTGCTCTGTTAAATTTTAAGTATGTGAGTAATATGTTCTTTTTTTTTTTTTAAAGCTTTTTTTCTTTTTTAATTCTATGAGAGAGAGAGAGAAAAGACCCTGATAGTGTCTCGATGCCTTTCTACCCCCACAGGCCTCAGCCTCAGGTCATGGGCGCATGTGCACTTGGTATGTTCAGGAAGATCTCCAGGTGCAAACCCTCCATTTTCTCATGCAGTCAGCTTTGAGGAACACTGTATTACTGCTGTGCCTTTGTCTGGCCCCAGCAATATTTTCTTTACATCTTTTTGGAGATCATAATTTTTTATTTTATTTTATTTTTTAGATTTTTCTGTAGAGCATGTGTGCTCATGGGAGAGAGTTGAGAGAGAGATATATAGAAAGTGAGCAAGTATCCCCTAAAGGTGCTGACCATTCTGCAATCCCTTCCCCTCCATTCTCTTCTTGGATTTTGTACACGCATACATGCTAGGCTTATTTTTCAAGCTGCTGGGTCTGGGACACAAACCATGCAGTTGACTATGCACAATCAATCCCCCTTACCTGTATGCCATCTGCTGGACCAATCATAATATGTTTTGTAAAAAGAGCTTTGAAATTTTGGGGGCAACCAGCAGGTGGCATAATGATTACATTGCTGGACTCCCACGTGGTTGTCAGTGGTTGGAGTCCTGGACCTGGTGACTTAAAACTCAGGCCAGGGAACCAGCAGTTAGCGTAATGGCTATGTCGCTGGACTCCCACGTTGACCGCGGTTCGTGTCCCGGACCTGGTGGCTTAAAACTCACGCCGGGCGCATGTGCGTACGTGCCCATGATCCCGAGGGGAGAATGGAGGAGAAGGGATTGCGGCGTGACCATCACCCCTGGGAGGTGATTTCTCGCTTTCTGTCTCTATATCTCTCTCTGTCGGTCTGGCGAGCACACGCACCCTACAGCGAAAACCTCTCCAAAAAAACCAAAAAAACAAAAAAACAAAAACTCAGGTCAGGTGCTTGTGCAAGCCCAAAGTCCCAAGAGGAGAATGGAGGAGGAGGGATTACTGTGTGGTCATCTTCCTTGGGGGAGTGATTTCTTGCTTTCTCTCTGGTGAGAGTAGGTGCCCTATGGCAAAAAAATTTCTCTTAAAAAAGAAAAGAAAAGGAAAAAAAAATCTCTCTACAAGAAAAGGGAAAAAAATCTTTGAATTTTTTCAGCATAATGCTGAAATTTCTTTCTTTTTTTTTCTTTTAATCATTATCATTCTTCACTTTGCTATAGGGTATGCATGTTCACCAAAGAGAGACAGAGAGAGAGAGGAAAAGTGAGAAAGCAAGCTGTCAGGTTTGGGACTTGAACCTCAGTCAGTCATGTGGGACCCCAGTGCCCCAACCGCTACATCACCTGCTGGTCTCAATGCTGAAATTTCTTAACATGTCATGTCTGTCTCTTTAGTCCATAGGAAAAAATGTGGATGGCAGACTTGAAGTGTTCCACTGTGACTTCTTTAAAATGGATCCTAGAAATTGTGGATTAGTAAGACCCCCCATTATGATTTCCCACATGCTGTTTCAGAACTTGGGAATAGAAGCACTTCCTTGGTCAGCAGGTACTTTTGTCATTCACTAAAGTAAATAGCATATAACTCACCAGTTTTCTTCAGCAGTATACCTCATTTATCAATAAGCCGTGTATACATTTTATCTTACTGAATTTATTAGGAGGTACTTTAATGTTGAATATGGCATTTCTCTTGCCTGGACACAAAAAACCACTTTATTTCCCTATAAGTTCCATATTAAGGAAAATTGGTTGAAGCTTTTTGTTGAGTAAAAAAAATTTAAAGTTAATATAATATATTTTCAGTTTGCCTCAATAAAATATGGTCGTAGGAAAACGTGTTAAAAACTTTATTCAGGGGGACCAGCAGTTAGCGTAATGGCTATGTCGCTGGACTCCCATGTAGTCGACCATGGTTCACATCCCGGACCCGGTGGCTTGAAACTCGCGCCGGGCGCGTGTGCGTGTGTGCCCAAGATCCCGAGAGGAGAATGGAGGAGAAGGGATTGCGGTGTGGCCATTCCCCCTGGGGGGTGATTTCTCGCTTTCTGTCTCTCTGTCTCTCTCTCTCTGTCTGGCGAGCGTATGCGCCCTATAGCAAAAACCTCTTAAAAAAATATGTAAAAAAAACTTTATTTGGATCTTTTTGTTTGTATTTCTGACAGGTATCCCTTTAAAAGTTATTGGAATCTTCCCAATTAAAAGTGAAAGAAAGGCACTTTGGAAACTTATATATGACCTATATTCCTGTACTTCTATATATGGACATGGACGCATAGAACTAAATATGTTTATTAGTGAAAAAGAATACAAGGTAGGTATAGTAAGTCTCTGGTTTTTGTTTTGAAACAGTTCTGTGATTTTTTAGATTTTTACCATAGGGTGTGAATAGTCACTGGAGAGAAACAGGAAAAATGAAAAATTATATCTAGGGAGAATGGCCACGCCTTAGTCCCTTCTCGTCCATTCTCTTCTTGGGATTTTTGGTATGCACTCATGTGCACCTGACATTATTTTTAAGCCTCCAGTCCAGGACTTCAACTATGGTCGTCCATGTGTGAGTCCAGCATCTCAGTGGCTGCTCCACCTGCTGTCCCCTCAGCAATTGTTTATAGTCCTCACCATGCAACTCTTCCACCTGCTTGGTTAAGTTAATTTCTAGGTTTATTGTAAAGAGGATTGTGTTCTTAATTTCTTTTGCCAGTTGTCCATTACTAGTGCATAAAAATATAACTGATGGGGCCAGCAGGTGGTGTGGTGGTTAGAGTGCTGAAATTCCCACATGTCTTACTGTGGTTCGAGTCCCAGACCTGGTGGCTTGCTTTCTCACTCTACCTCTCTCTTTTTCTGTCTTTCACTGGCAAAACTCATTGTGAAAAAATAATAATAAATAAATAAATCAGTAATTCTTAAAAACAATCAAACAAACAAAAACAACCATTTTGTGTTGTCTTTGTATCCTGCAATTGCTAAATTACTTTATTAGTGCCAACAGGGTTTTGTTTTTGTTTTTGTTTTTTTTTTAATGTGTAATCTTTAGGATTTTAGACTCTTATTTTTTATTTTCTGTAATGGAAATCCCTCCTGAAGTTCTTGACAGTATCTCTTTTCTGCTCAGAAAGCTTTATGTTAGTAATCTAGTAATTCAGCGCAACATAAAATGCTTATTTGTGCATGTGGGAGGTATGGGGTTAGGATAGTGGGGCAAAAAGCGAAGAGAATTTACTCACCTAAACCTAGGTAGTAAATAAATATTCATTAGCCGTGGAAGGAGGGCAAGAGGCTCAGAACCTCAAGGCTGTACGTACAGTATATGAATAAAGAATGAAAGGATGAGATATAGGAAATGCTTCCTTGGATTTTATCTTGCTGCTTGGAAGATGTTCCTATGGCCCATTCTTTTACCATGGATCTTTTCACGTGTGGTTTGTCTCTCTGTAGTGCCTTCTCATTAACTCACATAGCCTCTCATCCTTCAAACAGCCTTAGCAATTCTTCACTGAAATTTAATAACTCACTTGATACCTCTAGTTTTTATTTTTTTAAACAGAATTATTTATCTGTGGGCCACCAGATGGCGTGGTGGTTAAGGTGCTGGACTCCCACAAAGGTCTGGGGCTGCCGTATGAGTCCCAGATATGGTGGCCTGCTTTCTCACTTTCACTCTGGTAAAATTAAATAATAGTAACAATAATAAAACTAAATAAAAATGGTTTTTAAAAATTATTTATTCAGTTTATTTTATTATTTTAAAAATTTTAAAATTTGACCAGAAAGAGAAAGAGAAAGTGAGAAAACAAACTGCCAGGTCCTAGTCTCAAGCCATCATCCTCCATGTGGGAGCCCAGCACCTTAACTACCACATCATTCGCCAGTCCCCCTGATAGGTATTTAACATACTTATCTTTCTCCAAAGTATATATCACAGTTAACTCATTATTCCTGTGATTAGCTAATGTTTTCCTACCCTGTTCTGTTGTAGGATCTGTAGGACAAGAATTGTTTATGTTTTCCTTACTTCTCTTATTAGATGATTACCTGTTAAGAACTTTATTATTATTTTTTTTTTTGGAGAGTTTTTTGCTATAGGGCACGGTGTTTGCCAGAAAGACAGAGATAGAGACAGAAAGTGAGATATCTCCCCCAAGGGGGGATAGCCATGACACAATCCCTTCTCTGTTCTCCTCTCAGGATCTTGGGCACGCACACACACGCGCCTGGTGTGAGTTTTAAGCCACCAGTTCCGGGACTCGAACCGCAGTTGACTACATGGGAGTCCAGCGACATAGCCATTATGCTTTTATTTCATCTTTTTTTTGTAGAGGATTTTGCTATAGGGCTTGTGCGGTCGCCAGAAAGACAGACAGAGACAGAGATATAGCAAGAAATCACTCCCCAGGGGGGGATGGCCACACCGCAATCCCTTCTCCCTTCCCCTCTCGGGATCTTGGGCATACACACACACGCACCTGGCATGAGTTTAAGCCACTGGGTCTGGGACTCAAACTGTGTTAAAATATGTGGGAGTCCAGCAACATAGCCATTACACTAACTGCTGGTCCCCCACCTGTTAAGAACTTTTAATCTGATTTTTCTTTAATGAGATTTTTACCCTGATAGATACATGATTAGGGATGAATCAATCTCAAATACATTACATGTTGGGACCAGCAGATGGTATAATGGTTACATCGCTGGACTCACACGTAGTCAAACATGGTTAGAGTCCCGGACCTGGTGGCTTAAACCTCATGCTGGGAGCGTATGCGTGTGTGCCCAAAATCCTGAGAGGAGAATGGAGGAGAAGGGATTGTGACATAGCCATCCCCTCGGTGGGGTGATTTCTCACTTTCTCTTTTTCCGTCTGTCTCTGTCTCTCTGGTAAGTGCACATGCCTTATAGCAAAAATCTCTCTAAAAAAAAAAAAACATATGTTGTGTATACATGATTACCTATTGTAAATGTGAAAGTTTTTGAAATGCTTATGGTTAGGAATTTTCATTTAATTCTAATTTTGTTTACTTAAATGTCCTAGATGTTGTTATAGTATTAAGATTTAACATTTGAATTTGATTATATACATTTACACATTTATATAGTCATATATACATTTTATTTTCCTTTAACTAGAAACTAATGGCCAATCCCAGAAATCCAAACCTCTATCAGGTATTAAGTGTGCTCTGGCAAGTAGCTTGTGAGATTAAGCTTCTGCACGTGGTGAGTAAAATTCCTCCAAATTTCAAAAGAGAACTTTATTTTTTTTTAAAGAATTGTTTTATTTAACTTTATTAACTGATTTTTTAATTTGACCAGAGATGGACAGAGTGAGAGAGAATGAGAGAGATAGTGAGAATGCAAGCCACTAGGTCCGGTTCTTAAACCACAGTCGGTTATGTGAGAATCCAGCATCCTTAACCACCATAGCTCCTGCCGGCCCCAAGAACTTTATTGTTTTTTAAAGATGCTAGTAAATAGAGATGACTTAAAGATGAATTTTATTATTTTTCATGACTATAGAAGGTAATAAGGCAAGATGATTTTGTGGTCAAAAGTTTTTGCTGCAAATATTTTATATTTTTCTCTTTCAAATTAATACATACTGGGATCAGTAAATGGCATAATGGTTATGTTACTGGACTTCTACGTGGTCGACTGCAGTACGAGTCTCAGACCAAGAGGTTTGAAACACACTGAGTGTGCATGTTTGCCCAAAATCCCAAGGGGAGAATGAAGAAGAAGGGATTGTGGTGTGGCCAGCCCTCCCCCGTCCAGGGTAATTTCTTGCTTTCTGTTTCTCTCTTTCTCTGTCTCTCCAACAAGCCCATGTGCGTATTGGAAAAATCTCTTAAAAAAATGCATTCTCATGGTAAAAATATAAAACTTATTTTAAAAAAAAGAGGGGGAGCAAAAATAAGAGGGCAGCAGGTGGCATGGAGATGCTTTTCTTTTTCTTTATGTAGTAGAGATTATAGTATCTTGAATCCTTTTTTGGTAGATTTTTTCCCTTGCAGTGAACTTATTTCTTAATTTTTTTTTCTTTTTTACTTTTTGTTTCTTTTCTTTCTTTTTTTAAAAATTTTGCCAGAGTGTCTTTGCATTGACCAGAGAAAGACAAAGAAGGGAAGTGAGAAAGCACCCTCTACCGGAGATACCCTTCTCTTCGGGATTTTGGGCACGCATGTACACATGCCTAGTATGTTCTCCAGTTGCCTTAACTACCATCCCACTGACTGGCCTTATTTCTTAACTGGGTACTTAATTGTTCATTATAGAATTTCCCCCTTTTTGGTGAATTTCTTTGGGGAATATCAGAGTTATCTAATAGAAATATAATGTGAACCAAATATATATAATTTTATATTTTTTAGTAGTCATATCATTGAAAGTAAAAAGGAAACAAGTGAAACATCTTTTTATTTTTACTTTTTTGGGTAGGTTTTTACTATTGGTCATGTGCACTTGCCAGACAGAGAGAGAGAGAGAGAGAGAGAGACAGACAGACAGACAGACAGAAAGCGAGAAATCACACTCCCCACTCCCGGGGGGAATGGCCATACCGCAGTCCCTTCTCCTCCATTCTCCTCTTGGGATCTTGGGCATGCATGCACATGTGCCCGGTGTGAGTTTTAAGCCACCAGGCCTGGGATTCGAACCACGGTTGGTTCCATGGGAGTCCAGCAACATAGCCATTATGCTAACTGCTGGTCCCAAAACATCTTTTTATTTAACCCTGTCAATTCAAAATATTATTATTTCAGTGTGTAATTAGTATTTTTAAATCAGTTATTACATAATTTACATTTTTGTGTGTTTGTGCTAGGTCTTTGAAATTTAGTGTGGATTATATATTCAGAATATATCTCAATTCAGACTAGACATATTTCAAATGTTTATTATCCTTGTATGACTAGCAGCTATAATGTTTGATACCAGGGAACTACAAAGTAAGAAAAAAATGATAAATATACTTTGCTTCATGTCATTGTTTACCCATTCGCTTTTTTTTTTTTTTTTTTTGGAGAGATTTTTCACTGTAGGGCGCGTGCGCTCGCCAGACAGACAGAGAGAGACATAGAGACAGAAAGCGAGAAATCACCCCCCAGGGGGGATGGTCACGCCGCAATCCCTTCTCCTCCATTCTCCTCTCGGGATCTTGGGCACGCACGCACACGCGCCCGGCGTGAGTTTTAAGCCACCGGGTCCGGGACACGAACAGCGGTCGACTACGTGGGAGGCCAGCGACATAGCCATTACGCTAACTGCTGGTTCCCTACCCATTCGCTTTTTAAAAAATTTGCCATAGGGCATGTGTGCTTATTGGAGAGAGAAAAAAAGAGAGGGAAAGTGTTAAAACATCTAGAGGGAATGGCCATGCCACAATCTCTTCTCCATTCTCCTGTCAAGATTTTGAGCATTTGTGCCCAAAGCTTTGTATGTGTTTCAAGCTGCCAGGTTTGGGATTTGAACTGCACAGTTGGCCATGTCTGATCCAACCACCTTACTCTGTACCACAGGGTAGCTCCACCCATTCAGTTTTTTATTTTAGACTACAGTATGTATCAATAGTTTTTATAGGATATATACGTTACGTATTTAATGGGGCTTTATTCTTCCAAGGATGTATTAGTTTAATTTAAAATTTTTGAAGTTTATTATTTTTTCTTTGATAGCATCCCTAACAGGATTTTTTTTTCTTTCTTTTATTTATGGTTTTTTTTTTTTTTTTTTTTTTTAGGTTTTTGCCATAGTGTACATGTGCTTGTTGGAGAGAGACAGAGAAATACAGAGAGGAGAAAAGAAGAAATCAGTCCCGGAGTGGGGGGGGATGGCCACATCACAGTCCCTCCTCTTCAATTCTTATCTTAGGATTTTGAGCATGCACACACACATTCTTTAGGTGTGACATTCAGGCCACTGGGTTCAGGACGCAAACCATGGTTGACCATTAGGGACTCCAGCACCTTAAGAACCACACCACCTGCTGGCCCCTCTAACAGGATCTTAACGCTATACTCCACCCTGAGCCCTCCGTCATCCCCAGTTCATGGCCAAGCATGTCCCCTGTGTATTCAGAGAAGTCTTAGAACTTGACCAGAAACCTTCCCATGCAGAATTCTCTCAAAGAGCATTGTGTTTTACTGTTATTCCACTGTCTGGCCACCTAATTTTCAAATTTTTACCTTGGGTAACTCTAAGTACTCCCTTCACTGTTTTTGAGTCCAAGAATACATAGAGCCTTTTAGTCTACTTAGCTATTTTCTTTTCTTTTTTTTTTTTTTTTTTTTTTTCAGCTTGGGACTTTTATTTTGTTTGATTTATAGCTTTTGTTGTAATCTTCCACCCCCTAAAACATTTGAGGTTAGTAAATTGACTCTCTGGTCCTTGTCTTTTTTCTATATGTATCATGGTCTCTATTTTTCTCTATTTCCAGAATCTTTTCACATGTGGCCCTCATATCACTGATGGTTCTTTCTGCCCAAACCGTATATTATAATCTGGAATATAGTTTTTGATTTACCTAAATTTGTTCCTTACTCCACCAACCTTATCTCATTCTATTGAGCTTTCATTTTAACCTCTTCTGCCTTCATGGCTTTTGGATGGTTTCCTTTTTTTTTTCTTTGAGGGTTTTTTTTTTTTTTTTTTTTTTTATTTTTGTCCGGGCAAATGCCCCCACCGAAAAGACTTTTGTGCTCGCCAGAGAGACAGAAAATGAGAAATCAGCCCCCAGAGGGGATGGCCATGCCTCAATCCCTTCTCCTCCGTTCTCCTCTCAGGATCTTGGGCACACACGCACATGGACCCAGCGTAAGTTTTAAGCCAACAGGTCTAGGACTCAAACTGTGGTTGATTATGTGGGAGTCCAGTGATGTAACCATTAGATTATCTGCTGGTCCCCTTCATGGAGGCTGTTTACTATCCTTAGCTTTTAGGATAATGTTTCCTTCTTGTTCTTTTCTAGGGAGACAGAACTAATAGGTTTATATCGATCTATAAGAGGGGATTTATTTATTGGGGAAATCAGCTCACTTGGTTATGATAGTTGAAAAGTCCCACACTTTGCTGTCTGCAAGATGGAGATTCTGGACTTTTATTAATGTGGTTTAGTCCAAGTCCAAAGGCTTCAAAGGCAGGAAAGCTGATGATGTAACTCACGGTCCAAGGTTGAAAGCCCTTGAAATCTGCAGGGCCATAGGTGTAAATCCCAGAGTCTGAAGGCATTTAGTTTTTAATTCTGATGTCCCAGGCAACAGAATCCTGCTCTATCTCAAAGAGACCCATTTGTCTTCTATATATACACTCTCTGGGCCCTGGTTAATGGAATCTGCCTACACTAAGAATGGGTCTTCCACATCTAGCTTACTCAGACTCCCACGTTAATCCCTTCTGGAAATACCCCTGAGGACGCACCCAGAGTAATGCTTTTCCTAGGTATTCCCTAGTCCAGTCATTTTGACACCAAAAAGTAACTATCACACTTAATATTTACTTTCCAAGGTCCTGGGTTAAGTTTTGCCATTCATTAACTTCCAGAAAAGCGAGGTCTTTCTGAACCCACCATTTTTTAGCACTTGCTCCATTGTACATGTGCAGTTATAAACTAGGTTGTTAAACTCAATTCCCAGGATATTGCAGGTTTTCTTCCACTGTGGCTTTGGTCTGTGTAAGTAAGGTCTCCTCCATTTCTACTTTCACACCCTACACTGCTTGCTAGACAGAACATGTGGGAAACTTCGTCCCCATCATGCACTGCAGCCAGTGCTTTGCCTTCCTCTATTTAAAGTGATATTTCTGAAACTGCTAGCAATTTCACAAATGGGAAACAATTGCATTTTTCATTCCACTACCAGTGTCACTGTAGTGAATATTTTTTTTTTTTTTAACTTTTGCTATATAGGGCATGTGCACTTTTCTGAGAGAGGGACATAGAGAGAAAGTGAGAAATCACCCCCTATGGTGGATGGCCATGACGCAGTCCCTTCTGTAGTCTCTTCTTGGGATTTCTGGGCATGCACACATGCCCAGCATCATTTTTAAGCCAGTGAGTTCAGGACTTGAGTATGTGGGATCTAGCTGCCTTAACCTGCATGCTAGCTGCTGGCCCAATAAATGATCATTTTTAACAATAGCCTTTTTAAATCTTGTTAAGTATTGCTTTAATCTTTTTTCAACCTAAATCAGTACTTTATTCCTATTCTCTTTTTTTTTTTTTTTTTTTTGCCAGAGGGTACATACATTCACTAAAATGAGCAAGAGAAACAAAGCGTTCCCCAATGGGGTATGTTCACACCACAATACTTTTTCCTCCATTTCTTCATCCTGTCAGGATTTGGGGCATGTATGTACATGTGTCCCACATGTTTTTCAAGTCACTGAGGCCAGGACTAGAAGTGCAGTTGGCTATGTTGGCCATGTGGGATCCAGTTCCCTGTATACAGGGCTTAACCCTGCACTATAGGGCCCGCCCTGTTATAGCCTTTTAAGTCTGTGTCAGATGCTTTTTTTTTTTTCTCTCTCTTTTTAAGACAGGGTCTCATGTTATGAATCTGCCTTAGCCTCCCAACTGAGACTATAGCATGTGCTCCCACACCCAGCTATTTTTTAGACAAGGTCTCACTGTGTTTCCTAGCAGCCTTTAGCTCTTGATCCTCCTGCCTCAGCCTCCCCACTGCTGTGGTTATTGGTACACACCACTGCTCCCAGCCTTTAAGTTGGACCAAGAATCGAACCAGATCCCCACGTGATTCTAGCCTTTGGAGCACAGTGTAACAGCAGTTGCTGCTGGGACTGAGCCTCGGATGCTATTTTAATCGTATTATTTTTGGAATTTAATATGGGTGTATGTGTGGGTATGCATGTTTTTTTATACAGAATAATTTTTTCAGGTTTTTTATTTTATTTTATTTTTTTATGGTTTTTGCCATAGGGTGCATGTTCTCGCCATAGAGAGACTGAGAAAGTCAGAGAAAAGGAAAGTTAGAAATCACACTTCAGGAGGGATGGCTAGGCCATAATCCCTACCCCTCCTGGGATTTTGGGCACACATGCACATGTATGCAGTGTAATCTTCAAGCCATCTGGTTCAGGACTCAAACCATGATCAGCCATGTGGGAGTCTAGTACCTTAACCACCATTCCACCTGCTAGCCCCCAGTTGTGTTGTCTTACAGTATTGCTTTATGGACAGAATTGTATGTACATAAGTTAAGTACCAAAAAAAATGATCTTTTAAAATATTGATAGGAGTATCTTTGTATGTCTATTCATATGCCCTCATGTACTGAAATCTGTTTGATTAACAGGCTTTTCCACTAAGGTTAGGGCAAAAAAGAAATCCCCAGTATTGGGACCAGCAGTTAGCGTAATGGCTATGTCGCTGGACTCCCACGTAGTCGACCACGGTTCGCGTCCCGGACCCGGTAGCTTAAAACTCACGCTGGGCACGTGTGCATGTGTGCCCAAGATCCTGAGAGGACAGTGGAGGAGAAGGGATTGCGATGTGGCCATCCCCCTGGGGGATGATTTCTCGCTTTCTGTCTCTCTGTCTGTCTGGCAAGCGCACGCACCCTATAGCAAAAAAAACTCTCAAAAAAAATCCCCAGTATTTACCTGATAGCCCTTATACTGCTGATTCTGACTGTAACATGGAAATGTTGGCTGGTAAAAACTATAATTGAAGGGCCAGCAGGTGGTGTGGAGGCTAAGGTGCATTATCCCACAAGGTCGACTGCACAGTTTGAGTCTTGGACCTGGCAGATTGAATATCATTCTGTGTGTGTGTGTGTGTGTGCACGCGCACGTGCACGCACACACACATGGCGTGGGCACACACATACGGTTTCCCAAAATCCTTAAAGGAAAAGAGGGGGATTGTGGTGTGCACATCCCCCTGGGAGGTGATTTTTTTACTTTCTCTCTCTCTCTCTGGAAAGCATATGCTCCCTATAGTAATTTTTTTTAAATTGTAACTTAAGGACTTTTGCATACAGTAACCCTCCTTTAATTAAGTTAGTAAAAGAGTTACTGTACCAGGATAGAGTTTTGATCCTTCTCTTTAACAAACAAAAAATCAAGAAGAGAGGAGGAAGGATGTGGCACAGTGGTAATGCTACTGGACCTGCATGAGAAAGAGCCTGGGTTTGCCTTGCAGGGTCTCTCTGAGCATAGTAGGCTCATATGTGTCTGTGATCCAGGCCACGTGAGCCTTGGGGTGAATCATAGTTTGAAATATTCCATCTGTCCTTCTCTCTCTCTCTCACTCTCTGTCTTGCTCATGGTAAGAAAGATATGGATAAACCTTTTCAAAAAATCAAGGAGAGAGGTGTACATAATTCAACTATCAGTTGTTTTCTTAAATCTAATTAAAATGACCTGAATTTAATTCATTCTCTTGTTTAGATCAGATTTTTTTTAAGTAATCATTTTGAGTGATTTGACCAAAGAAGAATAAAAGAAATGTTGCTTTGTGTTTGTTTTTCTTCCCTCAGGAACCTTGGTCATCATTTGATATATACACCCAAAATGGGCTCCTGGAAAAGCCGAAACGTAGGGTAAGAATGGATGAGTCCTTTTTTTTTTTTTTTAAGTGTTACTTCCTTTACTTCCTTTAAGATTCTCTAGTGTTCTGTAGTTGTCTTAGTTTTAAATTTTACAATAACTAGAGATTTTTAAAAAATGTATCTTCATATTGTTAACAAATTAAGATGATTTTGGCAGAGAGTTGCATTTATTAGCCATGGTATGAAAGATGCTAGTATAGTGTTCATAGAGTAGCTTGTAAAATTCTACTAACGTATTTACTAGTATTTCAAAAAAATACTGGGGGGAGGCAGCAGGTGGCGTGGGTGGTTAAAAGCACGGGACATTCCCACGTGGCTGACCACAGTTCAAGTCTTGGATCTGGTGGCTTGCTTTCTCACTTTCCTTCTCTCTGTGTGACTTGTTTTCTCTGGTCAAAATAAGAAATGAATGAATAAATAAAATAAATAAATAATTCTAGAAATAATACTGTGGACTCACTTTTGAGTGAAATGTTAATTATGACCTAACTTAAGCATATCAGTATGGGACCAGCAGATGACATAATAGCTACATCGTTGTACTCCCCTATGGCTGACTGAGGTTCAAGTCCTAGATTCGGCAGCTTGAAATTCATGCCAGGCACATGTCCGTGAATGCCCAAAATCCGAAGAGGAGAATGGAGGAGAAGGGATTGCAGTGTGGCCATCCCCCCCAGAGTGATTTCTAGCATTCTGTCTGTCTGTCTCTCTCTGTGTCTTTGGTGAGCACATGCACCCTATAGCAAAAATCTCTAAAAAAAAAAAAAAAAGATAATAAATTTTTTTAAATAAAAAGAAAGCATGTCAGCTTAATCTGAAGGTCCCACTTGGCTACCTCATTTTATTCTCATTCTTGACACCAAAAGGAAAAGGAGATAATTTATTTAGAAGTGGTCTAGGTCCAGCTGGTAGCATGGTGTTTAAGGCACTGGACTCCCACATGGCCAACCACAGTTCAATTCCTGGACCTAGTGGCTTGCTTTCTCACTCTCTCTCCCTGGTCAAATTGAATAATAATAATAATTAATAAAATAAATAATTCTTTTTAAAAAAGATATGGCTTAATTTTAGTGATCGTTCATCATTATGATTTTAGTTTTATTTTGCTATTCATAAGGCATAATTTATGTAGAATAGAAATAGGATAGTAATAACATATTTTGGCCTGTCCAAATGTCCCCAAAATGGATGATTCTGTATATAAGACACCTACCTTCTCATGTTTACTTTTTGTTTTTTTAAAACTTTCTGTCTGATGGCGTGTGTGCTTACACATGTGAGAGGAAAAGAGAGACAGAGAAAAAATAAGCAAGTTACCCCCATGGGGAATGGTCACGCCTCAATTTTTTTTCTACCATTTTTCCTACTTTTCCAAATCTCAGGTATACATGAATATATGTGCAGTGTTTCTTAAGCTACTGGGACTTCATCTGCACAACCGTGTTATATCCAGCTGCCTTCATCACTACAGCCATTGCCTGGCCCTCTTTTTTTGTTATTCTTTTTCAATTTTTTAAGGAGAGGGAGAGAAAATTTGCACAAATGTAGAAAAGGAAGGTAGAGGGAGAGGGAAAGATTGATATTTTTGACAGAGTTTTGTCATTGTGAACCTTTCTTTGCCTAGTGTTCCAGTTAGGTAGGATTACAGACTCATTACAGTGCCCAGGCTTTTCAGGCTGGTTCACTCTCCAAACTCTGGCATCCCAAGTATCCCTGCCTTGCACAGCTACACCCTAGATATCTTATGCCCCCATAGCTGGACCTCAGTTTTTCAATGAGAAGATCAAAAGCTAAAAACAATCATTTTTCAGAGTTTTTGTCACAGGGTGCATGTAACCACCGGCGAGAGAAACAGAGAAAGACAGAGAAAGGGAAAGTGAGGAATTCCCCACCCCCCCAAGGGGATGGCCACGCTACAATCCCTTATCCTCCATATTCTTCCTAGGATTTTGGGCACGCATGCACTTGTGCCCAGCATGATTTTCAAGCCAGGTCCAGGACTTGAATTGCAGTCGACCATGTGGGTGTTCAGCATCTTAACCACTGTGCCACCTACTAGCCCCCCAAAAGGTTTTTGAACTAACTTAAATATATCAACTTTTACTGATAGACATGAAATTACCAAATGTGTTTCATGAGAGAATTTTATTTAGACATCTCACATGTATCTGATATCAGTGTGTTCGTGAATGCTGTGGAAGTACTTTTGATGCTATGTGGCAGGCTGCAGTTTGAATCCTGGGTCCCTGGCATGTGTTTGCATGGCCCCAAAATTCTGACAGGAAGGAGAAATGGAGGAAAAACGTTTTTAGCACGATCAGGCTCCATTAGGGTGTGCTTTCTCCTTCTAGTTCTCATTCTCTCTGGCAAGCACACGTGCCCTCTGGCAATTAAAAGACAAGTATTTTGAGATTTTAGACATTCAACAGTTTTTAAGAGCACATCATCTTCATTTTTATCCAAATCATATGAGACTTTTTAAATACATAATTTAAAAATTTAAGTCAATATTTTTGTTCCTTAAGATCTGGGCATGGTGTGTTGAACACATCAAGGATTCCGTATGTCTTTGGGATATAATATTATCCTACTTGGAACTTAAGGTATTACTGTTTTGGATGATTTCTAAAGACACAGACTTGGGACCAACAGTTGGTGTAATGGTTATGTCACTGGACTCCCATGTAGTCAGAGTTTTTGTCATGTAACCACCAGTGGTGTGCGTCCCGGATCCAGTGGCTTAAACTCACACTGGGCATGTGTGCATGTGTACCCAAGATCCTGAGAGGAAAATGTAGGAGAAGGGATTGTGGCGTGGCCATCCACCCTAGGGGGTGATTTCTCACTTTCTGTCTCTCTATCTCTGACTTTCTGGCGAACGCACTCTCTCTATAGCAAAAACCTCTCCAAAACAAAAACAGAAATAAAAAACCAAAGACACAGACTCTTGGATCCAACAAAGGACTTTACCCCTAGCCTCCCTCATCCCATGGAGTGATGTGATATGGCTTAGTTAATGCTGTGCACACTGCATTGCAGCTGAGCAACACAGCTGAGCGAATCCACCTTTGTCTTTGAAGGAAACATTATTTTTAAAAATAATTATTTTAATTTTATTCATTGTCATTATTTTATTTTACCTTTTTTAAAAAAACTTGATCAGAGAGAGATAAGAGAGAGAAAGTAAGTGATAAAGCAAGCTGCCAGGTCTAGGACTCGAATCGTGGTCAACCATGGGAGAATCCAGTTGCCTTAACCACCACATCAACTGCCGACCCTGAGATATTAACTTGTTCTTCAAGGTTGCTCACTGCAAACAGCTCTGAGAAATGGTCAAGATGCTCAATGATTAGGACTTTGCATTCTTGACACACCCAATGGAAAATCTAAAGTCACTCAGGAATCTTTAGTAATTGTGTCTTCCACTGGGTAGCTTCAGGGAATAAGTCTTCCTCTGGCAATATTTTATGACTAACACTGTTTTCTCTTCCAGGAATTAGTAGAGCAAATACAGCAAAACCTGTATTTTATCCGGATGACTCCTCGTAGAAATTTATTTACAGAAAACTTAACACCTATTAACTATGATGTATTTTTTCACATGGTAAAGCACTGTTTTGGGAAGCGCAGTGCCAAGCTAATAGATCATTTACGGTAAGAAGCATAAAAGCAGTGTAAAAATAACCATTTAGGGCCAATAGGTGGCATAGTGGTTAAGATGTCAGATCCCACATGGCTGAAATGTGTGGCTCACGTACCCAGCAACTTCTGTGTGCCCAGAATCCCAGGAGGAGAATTATGCTGGGTTTGTGTGCGTGCATGCCAAAAATCCCAAAAGGAGAATGAAGAAGGGATTGCAGTGTGGCCATCTTTCTTGGGAGTGATTTCTCATTTTTCCTCTTTCTGTATGCCCTATGGCAAAAGCTTTAAACTATTAGCTAGATATAAGTTATTTTAAATTGGGCTTACAAGCACTTAAATATGAACTGAGAGTTGTGAGAAAGAATTAAGCATATAAATTTACTTTGTATACTTTGTATTTCTTTTGCAGTTCATTGAGTCCAGTTGATGCAATGGATATATTGACACAAATAGGAAAAAATGAAAAAGTGAAAATAAGTAGTATATATCCTCAAGACTTCAGACGGCTTTTTGAAACCATAGAGCATTCCAAAGATTATACCTATAAATGGCTATATGATGACAGCATGGAAGACAATCGTGTAGAGAATTAGAATGTTAAGACATTAGCTGAAGCCGTTTATTTATTTGACAAATATGACTCGAATAAGAAAGAATTAAGCTTGAGAAGTTCACATCTTTTCAATGGAAGATAACTGTTCTTGTTTCACACAGGGTTAGGCAGATCATTTCTTCTGAAGTTGATACCAATAGATAATATTAGTGGCTGCTGTTTTATTCACAACTGAGTAAAATGAAAAGTTCAACTAATTGTGGGTTTGATCAGGATTGAGACTTGTTTTGTTTTAAATTCTTATCTACTATAAACACGCTGGTAGTTGTAGGATATTACATTACCAGTTGAAAATTAAGTCTACTTTTATAAGTCCTTTTGGCTAAATACCCTACATTGTATTTCACTTACACCATTGCTGATTTTTTGCATTTCTGGGGGAGCAAAAGAGATTGTACATTATTAAGCTAAGAAAGTAAATTAGAGCCAGCAGGTAGCATGGAGATTAAGATAGCTGGGTACTACATGGAAGACTGTGCAGTTCAAATCCTGGACCTGGCAGCTTAAAAATCACACCAGACGTGTGTGGGTATGTGCCCAAAGTTCTGAGATGGAAATAGAGTTGAGAAGGGATTTCAGTGTAGCCATCCCCTGGGGGGTGATTTTTCACTTTCCCTTTGTCTCTTGTTCTCAGCAAGCATATGGCGCCTTATAGCAAACTGAGAAAAAAAAAGTAAAAGAAAGTAAATTCTACTGATTTAAGTGGTTTGTTTTACCTTTCAGTTTGTTGAAATGTATTATCAAGTACTGTATATGAAATTATTTAAATTTTAATATGTTTTAATATGATTTAAACTTTTTTAGAAATTAAAATATTTTAAATAATAAAATTTTGTGATGATTTCTTTGTGTTTATTGATGAAACATTAAATTCACCCCAACTGGAGCAAGCAGGTAGCATGGAAATTAAGGTGCTAGACCCCACATGACTGAGCAGTTGGAGCCCTGGACCTGGCAGCTTGGAAATCATGAGCCCCAACCACTACACCACCTGTGGTCCCCAGTAGATACCATTCTGATGATGTCATTTGAGTCTCCTACTCCAGCCACACCTGAAGCCATACATTTCCAAAGCCAAGTACCTGAAGTGACTACATTTCCATTTTTGTTTAAACCCGTTTGGTGTGAACTCACCACTTTCAACCAAGAGTTGTAATACTGAGTAGTGGGAAAAGCTGTGATGCATTTTTGGATGGAAAAATACATCGTGCCTTTTCTGACAACCCAATGTAGTCACTACATTAATAGCATTCATAAATAGTACCCCATTCCTATGTAACTGCAGGGACTTTGTATGTAACTACTAGAAATTTGCATACTCCTTGGGAACCAGCAGTTAGCGTAATGGCTATGTCCTGGACTCCCACGTAGTCCACCGTGGTTCGCGTCCTGGACCCAGTGGCTTAAACGGTGGCTTAAAACTCACGCCGGGCGCGTGTGTGTGCGTGTCCAAGATCCCTAGAGGAAAACGGAGAAGGGACTGCGGCATGACCATCCCCCCTGGGGGGTGAGTTCTCGCTTTCTGTCTCTATGTCTCTGGCGAGTGCACGTGCCCTATAGCGAAAAAAAAAACCTCTCCAAAAAAAAAAAAATTTGCATACTCCTATAGTGATGACTGAGGTTAAAAATCCAAGCCATGTGCTTGCTTCTGCAGCCAGCACACACCCCAAAATCGGAATGATAAAAGATGAGCATGGCCCCCGTGCAAGGATGACATGCAAAATTCATGAAGCATTCCATATTTTTTTGAGAAGGGATTGAAACATGACCATGCCCTGTTGGGGGATGCTTCCTCCCCACCCCTTACCTTTCTGTTTCTGGTGAGTGTACCCGCTTTCTGGCAATTAAGGAAAAAGAATACCTAAGCACCATCCTGGCTCTTTTTTTTTTTTTTTTTTTTATCAGAGAAGAAAGGATTTTAGAGTTTCTTGCCCAGTGAGTATACTATTTGCACCATTCTAAGGCTTGAAAAGGAAATTCTAGCTACCAGTGAGACTTGGCAATAGACTTATAAAATAACCAAGTACTTCTTGGTTAAATATGCATTCAGCTTATTATTTTAATGCTGGGTAATTCTGTTGGGTTTTCGGGAAAGTCATGATGCATTTTTGCATAGAAAAACAGAAAAATACATGACTTCCCTGATGGCCTATTAAACATTGTAGCTACTTTATTTTTTGCTAATAAAATAGTATGTTAAACATAAAATTAGAGTTGATCTGGATTGAGGTAAAACATTCTGCTAGTTAAAAATAAGGATGTGAAAGGGAAAGTGCAGGGGAAGAAAGCTTTTGCATGTGTTTTTAAAGTTTATTCTATGAGGGGACCAGCAGGTGGCATGGTGGTTAAGGCGCTGGACACTCCCACATGGCCGACCACAGTTCAAATCCTGGACCTGGCGCTTGCTTTGCAAATGAAAATAAATAAATGAATAAATTTAACAAATTAAAAATAAATAATTAAAAAAAAAAAAACAAAAGAAAATGTTTGACCTTTGATTTGATCCTGGTTAAGAAAACAAAATCAATAGGCTGACAGATGGTATGGTGTTTAAGGGCGGTGGACTCCCACAGGGTTGACCACAGTTCAAGTCCTGGACCTGGTGGCTTGCTTTTTCACTTTTTCTCTTTCGCTCTGTCCCTTCAACCTTTAGTTGGTCAAACTAAAATAAACAAAGTTAAGTAAAATAACTTTTTTTTTAAAAAATACAAAAACAAAATTAGTTGCAAAAGGCATTAAGTGGAAATAGTTTTTGTTTAGTAGTATAGTTACTTTTCTTAGGTGTAATTACCGATACTGTAGTATTATACAATAGAATACTGTTCTTATTCTGAGTAAATGCTTGTTGAAGTACTTAATAACGAAATGTTCTGATGTACGGTATTAGAAATATGATGTGTGCAACTTATTATTTATTATTAAATTTGCCATAGGGCACGTGTGCTCACCCCCAGATCCGAAACTGAAACCACGGTCGATAATGTGGGAGTCCGATGCTTCAACCCCCCCGCCAACCTCTTGCCCCGCAGCTTACTTTTACATGATTCAACAAGAAAGCACACATAATACACAGATGGAGAGCGCGAGCGGGAGAGTAGAAAAGGTTAAATGCTAAGAACGGCTTATTCTAGGTGGAGACGACACAGGTGTTTACCGAATCGTTCTTTCAGCCCTTCGCACGCATGAAAATCATAAAAAAAAAAACCCCAAAAAACAAAACCACTACTTTTCCTGGGCCAGGCCCCCGCGGTGCGGTGACTGGGCAGGGAGCGACCGCAGAGCCGGAGACTATCCCGACCTCCCGCACGTTGCTCCGCTGCTGCCTCGGGACCCAGTCTGCGCACGCTCAGAGGCCTCGCCGCGCCGTCCCGCCCCTCCGGCGGACGCATGCGCTTTCGACACAGGCGTCCGGATCCCGGCAGCCCGCGAGACCCAGCTGTGGGACTCGGCGGACGTCTGAGCTGTGAGACCTACTGGAGAATGGAGTCCCTGAAGGTGGAAAAGTTCGCGACCGCCGGCCGGGGTAACGGGCTGCGCGCCCTGGCCCCGCTGCGCCCAGGCGAGCTGCTCTTCCGTTCGGATCCCTTGGCTTACACGGTGTGCAAGGGGAGTCGTGGCGTGGTGTGCGACCGCTGCCTCCTCGGGTACGTACCGAGTGCTCTCGCCCACCTGAGCCCCGAACTGTGGCCGGGTCCGGGTGCCGGGGTCGTCGGGCGAGCAGCCACCTGCGGGACTCGTCCTGTTCGAGGCTGCATCGGAGCAAGGCGATGCTGTGGAGATATCCAGACTGGTACTCCCCCTGGGGCGCGTGTTCCCCCCGGGGCTAGTCGCGCCCGACAGGCCCTGCCTGGACGCGTTCCCTAGGATGCGGCGGCGGGGGTCGGGGTCCCAGGTTCAGTCCCTGCCGCTCTACAAGACGGCGCTGGGCCCAAGGACAGACGCCCCCCCCACCCACACACACACATACACACCTGCTCACACCTGAACTGCAATAGGTATTTGGGGAGCTGGTTGGACAGACTTAGAGGAAACGTTGGGCCGTGGGATAATTTTGCTGGGGGGCAGAAATTGTGTGTCTTGTGCGACAGGTTTAATTGTTGCGACTGTGAAATGACAGGGGACGGGGGTGGGTGTGGGTGGGAGCAGGGATGTGCCTTAATTAGGCTCATAGCTGAGGCCCCGCCAGGAAAGAGTGGGTTAGCGGGAGGCAGAAGAATCCTGGTGTCTCCGAAGCATTTCTATGGCCCAGGTTTTGTGTAGCCCGGGGATAGGAGAATAAACAGGGCCTCTTTAAAAGTCCTAAATGAGCAGATCAAGTAAGTGAGAATTGCAGTGGATGGGAAGGGCTGAATTAGGGTACAAATAATGTGCTGTGGGAGCATAAGTTACTGAGGTTCCATGTGTGCTTTGCAGTTTAATGACTGTAACTAACTCTTACCCTGCTAACTAAATGTAAGAACTCATTTGAGTGTTTTCAGGTCTATGTCATTGTGCCATGTAAAGTGCTACATGGAAGCAGTTTATGGAAATGTGTAACATATATATTCACAGTTAGAGGAATTGTAGTCAGTCAACAAATTTTCAACTTCTGCTGTGCAAGTGGGAAGAGCACTTGTAGTGCTTGCGATTTTGCAAGAAATCCTGGTCATAGATCTGATTCTCATTCAAGCAAATTTGGCTTTTTTTTTTTTTTTTTCTCCTTTTTAAATTTTGCACAGGGCACATGCACTGACTGGGAGTGGGGGAGAGAAAGAAAGAGAAAGTGAGAAAGTATCTCCCCTCCCAGTGAGGATAGTAACTTTGCAATTCCATTTCCTCTAGTTCTCCCTGCTTTTGAGATTTTGGGCGCACACACATGCACCTGTCATGTTTTTCAAGCTGTGGAATCTGGGACTCAAACCTTGCTGTCAGCCATGTGGGACTATCCACCTTAACTACTACACCATAGGCTGGCTGGAAAATTAGTTTTTTAGTCTAATGATGTCTTTGGAGTTTGGAATATAATCAGAATTTATATGTAGTTGAACATAGAGAACCTACTGTTGCTTAATTCTCTATATATTGGGTCATCGAAAAAGTTATGACTTGTTTTTCTTATCATGACTTTTCTGATGACCCAGTATATATAAGTGTGTGTGTGTGTGTGTGTGTGTGTGTGTGTGTATGTGTGTTTGGCCTTTAAGATAGGAAGCACATGTGCTAGCCAGAGACAGAGAGAGGGAGAAGGAGAAAGCATCCCTTGTGGAATATGACCATGCCACAGTCTCTCATCCATTTCTCCATCCTGTCAAGACTTTTGGGCACGCACGCACACATACCCAGTGTGTTTTTCAATCCTCTGGAGCCAAGATTTGAGCTGTGGTTGTCTGTGTGTGGGATCCAGCTCCCTTAACCACTAGGCCTTGGAGTCTGTTTCTTAATCCTGTAACACTAATTGATGGAGACGTTGTCATCTGACAGATAAAAATCAGATTTCCACATTATTTAGTACTTGGAACAGAAGAGTTGCCGAGTGAAAAATAGTCACAAATTAGTAACTGAATCATTAGAACTGAGCTTTAATTATATGAAACGTGGAATTACCCCATTCTCCAAAACTAAACTGCACAAACCTCTTGGGGATGGTCCTTTTTAATTTTTGTTACTGATGTCTGTCATTCTTTTTTTTAAATTTTTTTTTAAGAGATTTTTTTGCTATAGAGTGTGTGCACTTGCCGGAGAGAACAGAGAAAGACAGAGAAACAGAAAGTGAGAAATCACCCCTCGGAGGGATGGCCACTCTGCAATCCCTTTTCCTCCATTCTTATCTTGGATCTTGGGCATGCACACATACACGCTTGGTGTGCGTTTGAGCCAGTGGGTCCTGGACTCAAACTGTGTTCAACTCTGTGGGAGTCCAGCGACATAACCATTACACCGTCTGCTGGTCACTGTCTATTACTCTTTCTTAAAAAGATTAATTATTTTATTTTTAATTTCACTTGTTATTATTGTTTATTTTTTAATTTAGTCAGAGAGAGACAGAGAGAAAGGGAAAGTGAGAAAGCCAAACCACCAGATTGGGGACTCGAACTGTGGTCGGCTCTGTGGGAGTCCAGTGCCTCAACCACCATGCTACTTGCTGGACCCCACTTAATTTTGTTGGGAGGGGCAGGTGATTTAAGCATAAAAGGAACTACATGAAAGGTTTTGGGAATTCTCAGCATTCCTTCTAAATCTGGAGAATCCCTGCTTTGAAAATGGGCAGAATCTGGGACCAGCAGGTGGTGCAGTGGTTAATAGGTGCTGAACTCCCACCTTGTGGGCCATGGTTTGAGTCCTGTACCCAGTGGCTTGAAACTAATGCCAGGTGCATGTATGTGTATGCTCAAAATCCTGAGAGGAGAATGGAGGATAAGGGATTGTGCGTGGCCATTCCCCCAAGGAGATGATTTCTTGCTTTCTGTTTCTCTATTTTTCTCTGTCTCTCTGGCAAACACATATGCCCTATAGCAAAAATCTCTCTCCGGGGAAAAAAAAAGGAAAAGAAAAAATAAAAGAGCAGGAATTACGGAAGTAGCTAGGTATACAGCATGTACCACCAGCACCGTGGACACTGGACCCTGCTGCTGTTGCTGCCGCTTGGTATAGTGGTTATTGGTGGGGATTTGTTCTCTGAATCATTTCTTTGTGATATTAGCTTCTTATTCAGAGTCCTCAGTAAATTTCATGGGTTGGAGGAATTTAGGTCACTACACTGAACTTAGCTGCAAGAGAAGTTGAACAGATATTTGGCCCTTTTTTAAAATTTTTTGATTGTTTTTGTCTTAGGCTCACGTACTCCCTGGAGGGTGGGAGAGGGGAGTCGGGGGAGGCGGGAGAGAGATAGTGAAAGGGAAAGTGAGAAGTCACCCTCCAGGAAGGATGGCCACTCTGCAATCCGTTTTCCTCCATTCTTCTCCTGGGTTCTTGGGCATGTACGCACATGTGCCCTGTGTGTTTCAAGTCACAGGGTCTGAGACTGGAACAGTGGTCTACCATGTGGGACTTCAGGTATGTAACCTGTGCTATCTACTGTCTCTGGCGTTTTTGACTTTTAAGATAGGAGGCAGGCTCTACTTCTCACCAATTCATCAAGTTCAGAAATGAACAAACCTAAACATAGTAAAAAGGATATAAGTAAATGCCAGGCATCTAAAGAAAAATAAACAGAGTATTTATACTGATTAACAATTATATATCAGTACAAGAGATCTTCATAAACTTCGTAGAGTGCCGGCAGGTTGCGTGGAAGTTAAAGTACTCGATCCACATGGCCAGCTGCAAGTTCAAGTCAAGTCTAGGACTGGTGGCGTGAAAATCATGCCAGATGCGAGGAGACTGAAGAAGGGATTGTGGCATGGCCATCCCTCCTGCGGGGTGATTTCTCACTTTCTGTCTGTCTACCTTTTGTGAGCTTACATACCCTATAGCAAAAACTGGAAAAAATTTTCATAGAAAATGTGTATTATGGAAAATCTATACATGGATTTTAAAAAATTTTGTCCCAGAATAAACTCTCTGATTGCATTGTTCCACATACTTTTTTTTTGGAGAGGTTTTTGCTATAGGGCGCGTGTGCTCGCCAGAAAGACAGAGATACAGAGAGACAAAAAGCGAGAAATCACTCCCCAGGGGGATGGCCACACTGCAATCCCTTCTCCATTCTCCTCTCGGGATCTTGGGCACACATGCACATGTGTGAGCTTTAAGCTGCTGGGTCTAGGACTTGAACTGCGGTGGACTACGGGGGAGTCTAGTGATGTAACCATTACACCATCTGCTAGTTCCTGTTCCACATACTTTTTTTTTGGAGAGGTTTTTGCTATAGGGCGCGTGTGCTCGCCAGAAAGACAGAGATACAGAGAGACAAAAAGCGAGAAATCACTCCCCAGGGGGATGGCCACACTGCAATCCCTTCTCCATTCTCCTCTCGGGATCTTGGGCACATACTCACATGCGTCCGGCGTGAATTTAAGTCACTAGGTCTGGGACTCAAACCGTGGTTGACTACATGGGAGTCCAGCAACATAGCCATTACGCCAACTGCTGGTCCCGTTCCACATACTTTTTTTTTTGGAGAGATTTTTGCTATAGGGTGTGTGTGCTTGCCAGACAGACAGAGAGAGACATAGAGACAGAAAGCGAGAAGTCAACCCCCCAGGGGGGATGGTCACGCCGCAATCCCTTCTCCTCCATTCTCCTCTCGGGATCTTGGGCACGCACGCACACGTGCCCGGCGTGAGTTTTAAGCCACCGGGTCCGGGACACGAACCGCGGTTGACTACGTGGGAGTCCAGCGACATAGCCATTACGCTAACTGTTGATTCCCCCGTTCCACATACTTTTTAAAGTCCTCTTGTACTTTACACAGAAACTAGATGTGCGCTTATTTTGAGTTGCCAGGATGTATATGTTCTATGGTAGTAGGTACTCCATGGAACACTTGTCCTTATTGGTTACAGAGTTCTAAAGCACTTAGTCACTGCAGCCTGAAAACAGTGTTAAAGAAGTGTTGGTACATTGTGTTATGCAGTTTTTTACAAACTGCTGTCACTGGGAGATTTCTGTGTTCTTTATCATCTTGTAAGTAAACTTTGTTTCTCTTCACTATCACTTGTGAAGT